GGTGCTCGATATATTAGCCACGTGATGTTCGAAACTTTTTTTTGGGTGACGCTTTTACCCCGGTCGTTCAGGTTGGCCAAATTTGTGTTGTCCGGCCCCAATTATACTCTTAATTTTGCCCGAAGTGATATCGTTACATTGCATTAAAAATTGCAGAAATCTCGATTTCCCTATGATTTGGCCTAAAATATCGATTTACATATAACGATATAATCACTGTCCCTGACCCGTGCGAATAAAAAAGCACATGTTATATAAGACCCGTACGATAAAATACAGTTTATGAAACTGAATTTTTACCTTTTTTTTTTGTATTTAGGTACGTACGAATAATAAGCGGCAATAAAAATACCACCATCCCCAGGAACAAGAAAATATGACCCAAACAAGTCTAAATCAAAACAATACAAGCCGAGACAATTTTTATCTTGTAAGTAAACTTTCGATATGGTCCTCCTATTATCGGCGGTACCTTAATATAGTCAAAAATATAATCAACAGAACTAAGTTTTTATTTTAATAAAAATTAGTTAATCAGACCTGGGGAAAAATATCAAAAGAAAACTTAGAGCGTGATAGGGACAATGATTGGGTAAATTCTGGTCAACGAGAGGAATGTTAAATAAAATGTAAACTCCCACAAACCTGTGATTTATTGTATTTTTATTATATAAATAAAAATATTTTTTTTTGTATATTGTCATTCCGGGCAATAATTTTTATAAATAAAGAAGGGTTCGCTAGACTCCAATTTATTATTATGCAATCGAAATATTAAACGCGAAAAATAATTATTTGTGTAATGTGTAGTATTATATTTACATAAATGCCAATGGATTTATTTTTCTAACAGGAATAATATGAAATTTATTTCTTTGGTTTTTTTGATCGGTAATTTTGTTTTTTAGATCGATCGAAAGTTGACGGGTTAGGCATTATGGTATGAATCTTCCGCTTGGCAAGCAATTTCTGCTTTGGATCAATAAGCAATCTTCGTTTCTCTGTATTTTCTTTCATGAAGGACTAAATGTGAATTATTATTAGTAAAGAATTGGTGAGAAGTTATACAACCGTTATTATACTCACAAAGAATTTTAAGCAGATTATAATTGCTTCGGATAATACAGGAAGATCTTCCCAAAGAAGAGGGACTCTAAAGCTCCCAAATTCACATAGGCAATATGCTCTTTGATTTATCATAAGCCAAAACAATGATACGTCTGTACGATACCCTAAAGCACTGAAGCTTGCTAAATCTTTATTATCCGATGTTCCATCATTAAGTCGAAAAATTATACGTTGATTTAAGATATCTCGCATAGTTCTAATAAGCTTATAGTCGTGAAGATAAAGTTCTGTAAGATCATTGTAGTCGGGGGGACCGACTTGTTCGTATACGAATATTTCCTCACGACTTATCCAGAGACGCGCTAAACCATCCGCACGTTTTGCTGATAAAACTTTATCAATAATTGGGTTGAGATTGGTATTACGTCGATGTTTACTGCTTTCGATTGGTACTTCGAGACTAGTGTCACAATGTTAATCAATAATTATGTACAAATGAATTTTTCTCGGAAAATATATTTGGATTAACTTACATTCGCCAGTCGACGTTACAAATAGCATCAAGTGTGTTGTTAAGTATCAGATTTACGAACTGTGCATTGAACTGATTTTCTTCGAGGTCTCCTGATTTTAATATATTGTATAGTGCTTTAAATGCTTTAATACTAAAAAAAATAATCAAAAATTTGTTACATAATAAATCTAAAAGGTTTGGAGACTTTAAAGGTTTGACATACTATGGTGCAAGAATATTATAGATTGTATCCTTTATATAAAAGTCTTCATCGAATTCATTTTCACCGGAAATTACATAAAGCCCACGCCAGCATTTAATCCATTCTAATAAAGAATCTTTTGGCTATTTGCCACCAATAAAATAATAAAAATTAGTCAAAACACAAAAAAAAAAATCTTTTTTTTCCAGTTTTTGCAACATTGAACACATCGTTTATTATTTCTTCCCATTTTTTGGGTAATTTGTATTCGGGATATGTATTCGATATAAAATTTTCCCATATTGTTTCAGAGATTTTTTCCGTAAATTTAGATCCAGGCCTAAGATCCATTACGTCGCTATGACATAAGCTAATAAAAGTGATAGTATGACTAAAACTCTGTATTTTCATATCGTTCAGAAAAGTAGATTATACTCACTCAAAAATGTTTTCACACTCATTACAATAATGTTCAAAAGTTTCTTCCAAATTGACGTCATCTATTATTAAAGCTGTTCTTTCGACTTTTCCGATCATTGATTCTGCTACTTTTTGAGAATCGTTATCAGGTACACAAAACTGCAGTACAAAGTTTACGCTCTCGTCGTCAACTCTATCATCATGGTTTTGATCTAAATCCTAGGAATAATGACTTTACAGCATATGGTGAAATAAAACACAATGGAAAAACATAATTACTTGGTTTTCTGGAGTTCGAGGCAGGGGCGTAATTTGCCTGCCCTAGCGTCTTGTCGATTTTTTCTTAATACTTCTTCCTCCTTGGGATTATCAACATAAATCAAGTTTCTGACTTTTAGCTAAATAGTAAAAAACTCAAAATCTTGCATTTATACTTCTTCCTCCCCGTGTTGGTTAGAGGATCCAGTGAAATTTGCACAAGTTGTATTTCCATTTACGCTTCCATTTATAGTTCCGCCTTCAAGAAATGTCTGTTGGTAGCATTGGATTTGTCTTTTAGATCGTCCTTTTTCCCACACCCTTGCTAGGTGATAATCTAGCCGAATACCCTAGAACAATAAAAACCAATTGGTTAATAGAGTTCTTGATAAATGTGCCTCTGAATCCTCCGAATTACTTCCATCCCACCAAATCAGCTAAAAACCTTTGAACAACAGGCAACCTAGAAAGCCACCTGCGCCCTGGCGGGATCTTGAACGTCAGGCAACCTAGAAAGCCACCTGCGTGCCGTAGTAACAACCTAGAAAGCCACCACTACGCTATCAATTCATGACTATAAAAGTTTCTATACTCGCCTTCTTATAACTATCAAGCAACTTTTGTGCTTTTTCGTGCCTGGAATCTTTTTCATCGTTAGCAATTTCTCAAGACTTTTAATGTATTGATCTATCTTTATATCGAACTCTTCTT